TGTATTGTGCAAAGTAGACACTCTATATGGGTGGAGGAAGTCAAACTTAAGATTCAGTAGAGTGCAACAGTATTGAGTAGTTGCATGAAATACACTTTATGGACTTCATTCTTTGCCGCACAGTCTCTCTACAAAGGTGGCACCCACACAACAAGCTTTACACCATAGCAGGGGCTGGATCAAGAATACTGGAAGGTGAGAGAGTGAGTTGGAGCTGCTAACTCAAGGGTGCTTTTGAAAATCCAACCCACAGGCTCCTGATTACCTTGATCTGGACTTTCATCCTTGGTGCAAGTTCTTCAGGAATGACAATTGTGTAACGTTCCCGTCCTGTGAGACCTAGACTCTCGGCATCCTCTCCGGGCAGATACTGCAGGGGAATCACGCCCATTCCTACCAGGTTACTGCGGTGGATGCGCTCATAGCTCTCAGCAAGAATAGCTTTAATTCCCTGGGAAATGCAAACAGATTCAGCTATGTTTACTGTAGGTTTAGAATAGCCTCTCTATATAGGCAGTTGGGAAAATTCTCCTTATTACCATACAGTAGAGTTATGGGCAGAGATTTGCAAAAGTGACTAGTGATTGTGTGTTCCAACCACCACCAAGCGGCCTCATTTTCAAAAAGTGCTCCTTTAAAGGTATTGTATATTGGGGTCTTGAAAACCTTGGCCATATTGTCTTTTAGAAAGGGGAGAAATAAAGACTCATAGCACACACACGGGCAGCCTAAGTAGGCTTGTGCTCTGGGCCACATGACCTCTATGTGCATAGATGTTGGTTTATAGCATGCTCCTGTCTCCACTACTAAGTGCTGCACTGTTAACAGCAGTCACACCATTGATCATATGTAGTACAGCGATCCCTTAAATAACTCCCAGTTTCAACAAACTTTTATTCAAACCCAGCCTCTTGGAAAAAGTGCAAGTGTGGGAAATGAAACCAAGCCACATCCTACTCCATTGAAGCTAAGGACAAGACTCCATTGGGTAGTGAGATCAGGGCTCTTCTTTCCAAAATGTATTATTTATATATGAACAGCACATAGGAGCCCCCCTCACCAACTGCATCCTGTCAGCGTTTGGTACCGTGCAGCCACAGAACGAAGAGTTCTAAAGTTCAGGTAAATAAGTAACAGTTACAAGTTTGGCCCCTTTTTGGTTGGAGTGTCATGCACAAACCAACACAATCATACTCTAGCTTGGGGGAATAATTTGCAAACCGCCTGTAGCAGGCAATCTACTGCTTTTGGTTGATGGTTAGTTGTAGAGTGGTGCTGGTCATCTCAGTTGTATGCGATTGCTTCTGCGATAGCAAGTCCTGTTTAAGAGTGTGAAACTTACTTGTTTACTGGATAAGTATGAATTTCCTTAGGAGGGATAACTGGCTTCTCTAGTATATAGCTCTTGTTGAGGGCTACAACACTGCCGGTATTGCAAAGGCTCTGCTGTGCATATAACTGTTCGCTTTGTTCTCAAAGGCAAATCTGTTTTCCCATCGGCAGCCCCTTCTTAACCAGCATTGGCAATAATCTGAATTCTCCTTTCATTTGGTCTCTCTCAGTGATTGACAGTAACATTCTACTTGGAGTTAGAGACAGACAGACACTCCTTGGAATATTCCTTATGAATTTACACTCTTGACCTTCGATGGGGAGTTTAGGCACAGGATACTCACAAGCATCTAGGAGAAGTGAACAATGAAGGGTGGTTCTAACTTCTCCACTTCCATTTATTACAGAGTCACTCACCAGTAGAAAAGGGCCCTTTGCTGCCCAGTCCCTGGAGCTTCCTGAGCCATACTCCTTGCCAGTCAGCACAATGAGGGGATGGCCTGCCTGCTTGTACCTCTCAGCTGCATCAAACACATCCAGCTGGAAGGAATACCAGATACATTAGATGCCTTGCAGGGACACAGCTATGTATGAAGTAAAGAGCTCTGCTGCTTCCAAGTCTACCAGAAGGGTGCTCTAAGAACTGTTCCTTCCGTAATCACACACATGCAAAATACCACCATTCAGCCTAGAGCAACAGAGCTAGCCTACAACACCATGAAAGTGTGCTTTGTTCCGAACGTGAGTGGATACAGATGTAGAACATCATCATCATGTGAAATAGCTCTAGCAGGTCAGTTAATACATACAGTGTTGGCCATTTACAGCACTGCCAGTATCACTTATGCACCCCAGCCCAAATTATACTGTGTGTTCCCTCTTCACTGGTGCCCAAAAGAGCACAGGTGCTACTGGCAGAGCTGCAACTAGCCATTAATAGTGGAGGATGTATTTTTATGTTGGGATGAGAGCTGGTAAAGACTGCATGTCTACACACCCATGCTGTTATGTTCTCTCTATAGAGAGAAATCTAAGAACGGACGTACTGGGTCAGACCAAAGGTCCATCCAGCCCAGTATCCTGTCTGCCGACAGTGGCCAATGCCAGGTGCCCCAGAGGGAGTGAACCTAACAGGTAATGATCAAGTGATCTCTCTCCTGCCATCCATCTCCACTCTCTGACAAACAGAGGCTAGGGACACCCTTCCTTACCCATCCTGGCAAATAGCCATTAATGGACTTAACCTGCATGAATTTATCCAGTTCTCTTTTAAACGTGGTTATAGAGATCTCTAGAAATATATATCTAGCTATATAAATATATATAGATCTGTAGAGCCTCAGAGTTATGAACTGACCCGTGAACCACACGCATCTCATTTGGAACCAGAAGTATGCAATCAGGTAGCAGCAGAGATTAAAAAAACTAAATACAGCACAGTGTTAAACATAAAACAGTAAAGGGAAAGTTTCAAAAAATTTGACAAGGTAAGAATTGGTTGTGTGCTTGTTTCATTTAAAGTAGGATGGCTAAAAGCAGCATTTTTCTTCTGTATCATACAGTTTCAAAGCTGTATTAAGTCAATCTTTTGTTCAGAATGATGAATATCCATTCCTAAAGTGTTCGTAACTCTGAGGGTTCTACTGCACAGATATTGCTACACTCAATATATAGACAGATACAGAATTATAAATCGATAAAGATGTATGCTCTAGAGAAAGCTCTCATATTTTAAAGGGACAGATTCTCAGTAAGTCAACATAGTTCCACTGAAGTCAGTGGTGATACATCAACGGACACTAGATGAGGATCTGACCCAAAAAAACTAGGAAATAGTCCCCAACCACCTTAAACCCAAAGTAAGTACTGCAGGCAAACTAGCTAGGTGCCCTGAGATAGGCAGCCCCACTGTGGATCAAGCAGTGTACTCACTGTTTCTCCAGAAGGGAAGTGGATAGTCTGGGGGGCCTGCTTATTGATGAATTTGTTTGACAAGCGAATGTTTGCAAACGTTCCTCTGACCATGACAGCGTCGTTACCCCTGCGGGAGCCGTAAGAGTTGAACTCTCTAGGAGTCAAGCTATTAGAAAAAAGAGACACTGGTGATTATTTCTAAACGGAAGTGGCTGCACGAAATAAGATGTGAAGAGGCATCTCTGAAGCTAGAACCAGTCATCTTTTTAACTTGGTTTGAAAGCGCTCTCCAGCACTCACATAGTCCCCAGCAGTGTAGTACAGAACCAGCTCCCAGTTCATTATTTCTATTTCAACATCATTCTTACCAGCCCACTATAGCGCAAGCATGTAACCTGGACCTAGCCAGAGAGGCTGCCAAAGCATTGTTACCCCAAGCAACACATGAGCAGTACTACAATAATAGGAACCAGGCTGCATTTAGCCACAAGAACCAATAGCAATCCCTTCCGATTAGCTGCTACTTAATCGCTACCACTGCTTACTTCTGTTGCTATAGGACCCACAGACCAGAGCCCCATTATGCAAGGCATTGTTCGAATCAGTAGAACTTGAGCTCTTTGGGGCAGGCTAACTGATACATAGGGGAAAAGGTAACAGTAAGGGTGGGTGTACAAGGGAATATTAATTTATACAGAGAGCATAAGAGGTATACATGACCCCCAAAGAAACACACACGGTCTCCTACCTGAGCCAGTAATAGAGATGCATAGCATAGAGCAGGGCTGTTTGTACTGGGATCCATCCAAAGTGTTACTTTAACATACACAAGTTGCAAAACAAATATAGTATGGGACTTTAGACTTTCAAGCCAATTGACATCACTGGGACTTGCACCCATGAAGCAAGAGTAATTTGCATTCAGTAACCTCTGGTACATTAGCACATTTCATTAAAAAACCTGTTGAAAGGCTTTTGTTACCAAAGCCATGATTTTTTTAAAAAAGTATACTTGTAGTTTTCAGAAACAAAACTCGTGCCACTCAGAGAGATGGACTAGGGATCAGAGGCACAACATGTGCACGAAACAGAACAGAGAGTCAGGCCTGAGAGAAGATTCCAACTTTACCCCAAGGCCTGGCAGACAAAACCCCAGACCTCCCATATAACAGTAAAGCAAGAGCACCCGGTTCTCAAGCCTGTGCCAGTGGCAGCAGCTACTCTGACCAAGGAAGATCTGAACTCAAGAGCTTCTGTAGCTCAGGATGTCCTGGTTTGACCAATGAAGGAGTCCTATATTATAGAGGAAATGTGTTTAGAGTCAAAGTTTGGTCCCACTGAAATCTATGAAAGTTTTGGTGTTGACTTTAATGGAACCAAGATTTGGCTGGATTAGTTGGAAGGGAAATGGCTCCCTATTATCTCCGCACTGGCTGACCCAGCTCATACTGTAGCATGAAGCAAAAAAGTCAAGGGAGGACATGAGGTGAGAGTTGCTCACTTGCCATGTGATCCTAGGAAGGCAGCTGCTCCAGAGAGTAGAAGGAGCAGCTCTTTCTGAAGAGCTCCTGGCAGGTGCAAGGAGATGAAAACAGCAGGGTGGGAAGGCACGTGAATTTCAACCCTCTGACACGCACAGTACAATCATTGAACCACAGAGCAAGAGGGGGGAAGGAGCAAAAAGGGCGTGTCTGAGAAGGAAAATATAAAGCATTTAACTTGACTTACCTTCTGCTGGTTAAATAACGAGCAGCAGGGCTGTTCCTTGCTATATTCCCAGCTGGGGATATGTGGTCAGTTGTTACAGAATCTCCCAAATTTAAGAGCACGTAGGCATCAACTATGGATTTAGGGGGCTGAAGCTCCAAAGTCTAGCAAGCAAACAAAATGCAATATCAATATAATCATTCTTATATAAATAAATTAAAGAAAAGAAGGAAAGTGACCCGGAATTTGTTGAGTTGGTTGAAAAGGGTGGGAGGTGCACTAAAAGGTAGCTAAACTAACCAGTCAAATTAAAAAAAAAAATCCACCCATTCTTCAAACAAATCCTCACCCTCTGAATATTCATTAGTTGTGTTGGAGGATTTTTTTTTGATCTAAGCTATTTTTGAATGGGAAAAGATCACACTGAGGGAATTTGGCCCAGTTACGCAGGTGGAAGTCTGGAATAGGTTATCACATCAGTGGATTATTCCAACTATACACCATTTTAACAGGAGAATTTGGCCCTGAATATAGTGTAACTGCCCTGGAAGTGAACAGAAAATCCTTTGGGAAGGAGAAAAAAAATGTACCTACCAGGTTCTCAAAGAAGGGGGGTGATTTAATGTATGTAGATTTGGGATTCCAAGTATATAGTGTATCTGATGGCGCATCTAAGGCATTCCAGGATTCATTTACTGTCTGAAAAACAGAAACTCACATGAAATTTTTCAGAAGAATCTATCTTATTATCTACCCCTTTCTTAATGATTCCCAACGTTCTGTTTGCTTTTTTGACTGCCGCTGCACATTGAGTGGATGGTTTCAGCGAACTATCCACAATGACTCCAAGATCTCTTTCTTGAGTGCTAACAGCTAATTTAGATCCCATCGTTTCATATGTATAGTTGGGATCATGTTTTCCAATGTACATTACTTTGCATTCATCAACACTGAATTTCATCAGCCATTTTCTTGCCCAGTCACCCAGTTTTGAGAGATCCGTTTGTAGCTTTTTGCAGTCTGCCTGGGACTTAACTATCTTGAGAAGTTTTATATCATCTGCAAATTTTGCCACCTCACTGTTTACCCCTTTTTTCAGATCATTTATCAATATGTTGAATAGGACTGGGCCCAGTACAGACCCGTTGTGGACACCACTATTTACCTCTCTCCATTCTGAAAACTGACCATTTATTCCTACCCTTCATTTCCTATCTTTTAACCAGTTACCAATCCATGAAAGGACCTTCCCTCTTATCCCATGACTGCTTACTTTGCTTCATTACTTCATTATCAGAAAGACGTTACTAAACAGCTGCAGAAGCTCTTCTTGCTGAAGTACAAAAGTCAGTTAGTGCAGTACACTAGGCAACTGAGTCACCTCTATTTTCTGGTAGACTTCTTTAAACATCCCTGGAATGACGTACTGCCGTTCAACGGCCTGGATCTCGTCTCTTGTTGGCCAGAGGTCTTTTAGGAAAATTTCCTTCCCTTCTGCATTTACTCCTATAAGAAACCACACACACTTAAGAGTTTGTGTACAAACATTCCACTTGAAAAAGTGATCCAATTTCTGTGTGCTGTCCACTCCCACTATTCTCTATTGTACTCCAGCACTCAGGGACCGTGCTGCCTTTGCTTTCTAGCCTGGCTTTGACCCGGTGGACTAGGATCTCGTGGAAGTTGATGATGATATTGTCAGGGTGAACTCCCATTGGTATTTTCTGGTAGGGTTGCCAGGAGATACTGTGCAAAGCAGGTGTCCTTCAGGTCTGCCTTGCCATGCCCCACTGAGCCTGCAGAGGCACAACACCCAATATTCCCCTGAAGGAGCTTCCCTAGGTTCAGACTATTGGTGCTATTAACACACTTCTCCTCCACGTGCACTTAGTGGCCACGATTGATCAAACACCTGCTTGTCTTGCGTCTCATATGCACCTCACTGGGCTCCTCCCAAACCAATACATAAGCGATGCTCCCTCTGGACTCTTCACTTAATATCAGTTGAATTGACTGAAAAATAGTGGGGGAGAGGGGAGAAATCCCAGCAGTTTCTTACCTAAAGGTTCTATCTCAAAGTCAATCCTTATGGTCCCCGCGATAGCATAGGCTATTACCAGTGGCGGGGAGGCAAGGTAGTTGGCACGAGTATTGGGATGGATGCGTCCCTCAAAATTCCTGTTTCCGGACAACACGCCCACCGCTATGAGGTCTCCCTGCAAGACAGCGGTAGAGACAAGTGAACACAAGCAGCAGAATGTCAAGGGCCTTCTGGCTCAAATGTATTCGGAATGGCGGTACGGTTAGAGTCAGAGGAAAGAACAACGGAAAGGAAAGCCTTCTGGGATCGTATATGATTGAGGCTACATTTTACTCACTGGTATTTTTAGTAAAAGTCATGGACAGGTCATGGGATTGGGGGACAGGGCAGCTAGCAAACAGCACGATACAGCTTAGAACAGCATGCAACAGAGCAGTTTACGTAATTAAACTGCAGGAGAATGGCTGAATGGTGGCACATGGTCTGTGTAGCCGGGGAGCACTCCTGCCAGAGGGATCAGCACTGACCAGAAGGCATCAGGACCTATATTTTGTGGCTATCCCAACAGGCAGTACTGCCACCAGCACAAGAGATAGCTCAGTGGTTTGAGCATTGGCCTGCTAGACCCAGGGTTGAGTTCAGTCCTTGAGGGGGCCACCTAGTGATCTGGGGCAAAATCAGTACTTGGTCCTGCTAGTGAAGGCAGGGGGCTGGACTCAATGACCTTTCAAGGTCCCTTCCAGCTCTAGGAGATGGGTATCTCCATAATTCTACTCTGAGGAAATGGCTCAGCAACACCTGCTGAATTACCATCACCACATTGTCTCTGTCCTGTATTACCCTGAAGGCAGGGACCATCTGTTTGTTCTGTGTTTGTTGAGGACTTAGGAGCCCCAGTCCTGGAGTGCAATCGAAATAATCATCAAAATGGTCCTTTCTGGCGTTGATATCTAGGCTTGTTCCTGAAACACTGAAGTGTTCCTTGGAGGTCTTCCATCCAAGCCCTGAACCAACCCAACACACTAAGGCCTGGGCTACACTAGGGGGGAGGATCGACCTAAGATACGCAACTTCAGTTACGAGAATAGCGTAACTGAAGTCGATGTATCTTAGTTCGACTTACCTCCCGTCCTCACGGCGCGGGGACGATTGCCGCAGTTCTCCCGTCGACTTTGCTTCCGCCTCTCGCCGAGCTGGAGTTCAGCAGTCAACGGGAGAGCGATCGGGGATCAATTTATTGTGTCTACACTACACGCGATAAATTGATCCCCGATAGATTGATCGCTACCCGCCGATCCGGCGAGTAGCGTAGACGTAGCCTAATATTAGCCTGCAAGAGGTCTGGCTACAAACCACCTTGATAGCCTCACAGACAGCCACTGAATGAATTAATATAATTACAGTATCGCTGAATGAGAGATTCAAAGATTGGGCCACATACAAAGCAATACCAGCTTACACTGCTCCACTGTCTTTTATTTGTTTTATTAAAGACAAATATATTCATAGCGGTGGCCTGACATTGTTACTCACAGCAGGGAATAAACAGAAGCTTATTTTGACAGGGAAAAAAAATGTTTTACACACAGAAATCCTTCCATAAGCTTCTTAAACATGCAAGTCAAAGACATCACATCCACAAACAAACAAGCTCATCACCACACAGTTGTGAAACTGGTTAACATTAAAGACTGCAAAACCTGGCTAAGAGATGACCTCTGAATCCCAGAGCAAAGCTACATTTTGAACAGGAAAACACAATAAAATAGAATCTTGCTATGTAGCCCTGAGCTAGTCGGAAGGGTCTCCTTTCCCACAGGGTGAGCAGAAAACCCTCTCTGCCTCTCCAAAACACAGGCTTCACTTTGGTTTTTTCCCTGTTAATGCCCTTGGGTTACTAGAAAATGCACGCAGGAAACATCAGTTTTGACCCTGCTATCAAATTCTGAGCTTCGGCTGAGAAGAGATTGCCAGTCAAGTGAAGATGCCTGGTTCTGGCACAGAAACATTCCTTTGAGGAGACAATTTTAGAGACCCAGCCCCTTTTCACCTGTGATCTATTCAAGATTTTAAGCTAGAGGCCAGATTCAGTCCTGGTATAGACTGACTGGAACAACCCTGCAGTTGATGGATTTGCACCCTCTTATAATGGGGTTCTATTTGGTCCGAAGTCTCTAGTGGTCAAAGGGGAGAGAAGTGCTTCCAGACTCCCTTGAGATGTCTGAAGGCTCGGTTTTCAAAGGTGGGTAGTGATTCTGGGTGCTCTACTTCAAAGGGCCTGCTTTTCCGAGGACAGGCGCTCAGCACTCCTAGAAGTGAAACCAGGCCCCTTTTAAAAAGGTATCTCAAGTTGACCACCCAAAAACTGAAGCACCCAAAACCACTAGTCACGTTTGAAAACGTAGGCCTCTCTCTCCACAAATCCAGCCATACAGACCCATTTATAAACAGAATCAGAGTCATTTGGGTGGGAGATATTATTCCAGGGGGCTACATTTGTTCCATTTCCAGACACCCATTCACTCTTTAATTAGACAGAAAGCTACACTGCATTAAAACAAGGACATCCCAACTAACTAGCATTTTCCCTTTTATAAAGCTGGCTTCTACAGAATCTCCAACGATGATGGTAGAACTTCATTCGCACTCAGCGACTGGTTGCCTTGCAAGCAGATAGAACTCTACATTCCCCACTGCCGACCAGAGAGCTTCTTGTGGGGATCACCGTCCTGAGGCTTTCTAAGGCTGCACCACAAGATGATTTAAGTAGGCTCTCCTGCTCTTGCTGCAGCTTGCCATTTTGTTTGCCGGGAGGGAGTTCTCATCTGAGTTTAAGTATCACAGCCCTCTCCTGCATGGATCCCTTGGCAACAAACCTTCGAGATGTACCTCAATCTCTTGACCAAGTGAAATAAATACATGATTTTGTCTCTGAAAGACCACGAGTATTGCATGCTGCAGAAGATTTAATAGCAGCCAAGTACCTGAGTGATGGCTTCTGCAACAGCCTCTGGTAGAGGTCCACTGTTCCCAATGCAGGTCATACACCCGTAACCCACCACATCAAACCTAGAGACAGTATTAAATATATTAGCAATCACAAGATAAGATATTAATTACTTATTGATAAAGCAAACGATCGGGCAATTTCCACTTTGAGGAAACGTGTTACAACACAAGCTATTCAATATCGTTTTCTCCTCAGAAAACTGTGATGGTCATTTGCATTCTTTTGCTGCTTCTTAAAAAAAAAAAAAGTGTATATAGATAGGCGCATAAATTTGTGCACCTAACTTGCACACACAATTGCGATGAGTACAATGTTTTGCATGCAAACAGTCATTAGTGCATGTGATTGCAACGATGCATACTGGAGACCATATGTTTATCATCAGCCAAGGCTTAGGACAAATTCCTGACCTAGAAGTCTTAAGTGAGATACTCGTTTAGAACAATTACATTTAAGAAATAAGCCATTCCCTTGCCTAACAACAAGTAGTCTTTAGTGAAACAGAAGGCTCCAATAGCCAGCTGAGCAAATGGCGCGGGCTGGGTTACACAGTCGAGAATCTAGCCCGAAGGGCTCAGCTATGCCTTTCAAACTGTGGACACCCATCATTGTCTTATGGTCCATCACTTGCTGCAAATGCTTTGCTTGCCCAGTCACTACATTTGCCAAGGATTATGAAAAATAGGCATCAACGAGCCTTGAGACTAAAATGAAATCCCCTCTTACCCTAGCTGAGCAAGGTAAGGCATAACTCCACTCTCCCTCAGATAGTAAGTGACAACCCCACTGCCTGGGGACAAGCTGGTTTTAATGTATGGCTTCACAGTCAGACCGGCATCAACAGCTTTCTTTGCAAGCAATCCTGCAAAACACAAAGGGCACCTGTGATTGTTCTTGGCAATGGCACAATCCACCTTAAAAAACAACACCACCACCACCACCAAAAAATCGTCTGATGGCTTCCTTGAATAGCTTGAAACAGAAGAGATTCTATTTCCGCCATTTGACTGTTTTGAATCAGCAACCCATGTGCTTAAGTTCCAGGACTCCCAATGCTTTGATGAATGGTGGTACTGGTTTCTTTCATTTTCCATGGAAAGCTGTGTGCAGCTACATTCAAAGACAGACAGACAGACACACACACACACACACCCAACCAGTATAAGATAAGGTGCTTGATCAATTTAGGAGCTATTTCTATGCATTAAACAAGGGAAGAGGAGCCATAAAACATTCCACATAAGACAATCTGGTGAGCCAGGGCTGAACTAACTACTGGCATAAGTTCATCTGGCCCCTTGATGTAAGCAAATGGTCTCACAATGTGTAGCCTGTTTAAGCAGCATTATCTAATTGCCTTCGGAGTGTGACCCTTTCAAAGCAGCACTGTATCACAGTCCAGCTCTTAGAGCTTGTTAACAAGAATATATTTACCCAGAGCCTGAATTCTTCTCTTGGACATTTTATTCCTTTTAAACTGTTTG